GGCCGCCTAATAGTCTTTTCTAATAATTCATCGCGTCAGCTAACCGATATAAATGCTTCGGTCTAGCTAAGACTACACTCCTCTATATATGTTCACTAGCACCTTGCAAAGATACTAATAAAGCAACTAAGACGCTGGCTAGCTCTAAACAATTCTAGGAGCAAGGTCAACAAACCTATGAGCAAGCCCACTAGTACTCAAAGGAGCTCTACACATGCTACAAGCATATTTACTAAGCTAAGCAAACTAAGCTCCCTAGCAATGCTCAATAACAAATTACAAAACAACTATAAGCTTAAGATATATATAAGTAATTGCAACCAATGCCTAATTAGATGCAAACCAGAGTACAAATATTTAGCTACAGGTTTGCCAACACTAGTACCTTACTAAACCAAATTAGCATCACCGCTAAGCCCTACTTCGTATGCTACACAAGGCTCAATGACTACTAAAGTTGCTATCTAACTCCATACAAGAGTACCTACATAAGCTTCTGCGGAAGCTGCAAACCAACTGGTTATTTTCAACACGACCACCTGGGTTGGTTTGCAACCTCACGATTCACTAGAATCGCAATGATTACTTGGTGGTATATGTGTGATGGAGGCTAACATCACATGGACACTAAGTCGCCGGGCACTCGGCAGCCTACCCTTGGCAGAGGGTAGCTTCTGATTTACGCTTTACTAAAGTTGCTCTTCGCGACCCTTCACAAAGTATCTTTGGGGGTTTAGGTCCAACGGCCCTTTTGGCAACCTTTAACAGGTAATTTCTAAAATAGATTATAAAGTAAACTTGTAAAATTCGCAGAAAATCATAGAAAAATCATAAAAATGCCAAGCTAGTTTTGTTAGTCTCCTAAAATCATGATCTACCTATTAGTATAGTTGGTTCACATAATATGATATTATTCTTGAAAGCTATATAATTAATTTAAGATACTTAATGTTGTAAAATATAAACTTGTAGGGATTTCCGTGGTAAATTGGTAATAACGTTGGATCGGACATCTTTACACCACCATGGGTTCCTAGCAATATTAGCCACTCACTTGTAATTTTTGTAGCTCAAATAATTAGTTGCTAGGTAAATAATAATGGCCTCTTTGCCCCTCTTGATAAAGAAACATCCGTTGGTTTATATAACTAAACTAATTGTTGGGAAATAACGCCTTTCATTCGACAACGTGTATATGTAGCCAACATAAGTATGGTTCACGTTGGTTCATCGTTAGAACTAGCCCGTTAGCTTGCTCAAGAGCGTCGTCACTCAAAAGCTATTTTACGAGTCACGCCAAGTTGCTTGATTGATTAATTACATCTTTGCATTGCATCGCATGCATATCATATAGGTACGATGATGGGTCAATGGATCGATCAAGGGTGATTGGGAATCCAAAGATGGTGTAATGGTATTCTCTCCAGAGATGATGCAATGGGCTTTCTATCCGATTGATGGTGGGTGATCCTCAAGATGCGTCTGAGATACTAATTTTTAATATATTTACCCGAGCAAGCCCGGTGCATAACCCCTATTTTTCTCTCGCATTATAAAGTAGCTTTAAATTATATTTGTGCATTAAGTGTTGAGGAGTTGAATGAAACCCACTTGCATATATATAATTTATCCTATGAGTCTTACTAGTATGAATTTTTGTAGCTCTATCGTGTAGAAGGCTATGCTACAGACTCGTTGGTTTATATAGAAGTCGAGTGATTGCCGTGTCACTGGTCGTGAGATATAGGAAATATGTTACTATATGATTATCACTTGGAATATATAAAAATGGTGGAAATGAAAAATGGTGACCCGGGGGGGATATGCAATGGTTTGGGTATTGGTGGGTGTAAGAAGTTGTGTCGCCGTGGACACGGGGCAAGCCACGGTTGCATAGCTTAAATTACACTTGCTTAAGTCCCCACTTCCATATGTCTCTTTATCCTATCGGTTAAGGACCGATCGTTGCATATGACTCTAGGCAGGTCACAGACTTATTATCCTGAGCACATACTTGTGTATGGGTGCTTGGAAGACTTGTTGCTCTCTTGTCGCGGATCCGGCTCTTTCCGGACCAACTGTCAGGATTTCTTTTTGGTGGAGGAGGTCCTTGCACCGCCTGGTTTGAGTCCGGACTCGTTACACTAGGGGGGCTTGGAGCTCCCATTTGGATGGGGACTTATTACGACACCGGGACAGGGAGAGTGATGGGTTGGCCTGCTTGTGCCTTTTTGGTGGGGTACAAGCGGGCGTGGCTTGTTTTTGGGGGACCCACCGGAGGGTGATTGATTCGTGAATCACCGGGCGATCCGGTACGACTTGTCTACGGTTTAGCATCATAGTAAGAACTGAAAGATGAAAGATAGAAGAAGAAAATCTAATTGCTTATCATCTGCTTGAAAGTAGCACAGGTGCTTATATAGAATGGTTAGTTAATGAACCAATGCGGCTATTAATAAAAATTGAATATAAGGACGCACGCTTAGTAATGCTTCATGTAAATGCAATAAACCCACCAACCAGATAGCCTTGCTATCATTGGAGTCTTTTCTTTCCTCCTGTCGGGTAAGTCTTGCTGAGTACAATTGAGTACTTAGGGTTTTATTCCCCCTGTTGTAGGTGATAGGTGGATGCTAAAGCTGACTCTTGTGTGTGGATTCCTCCTGATGGGCTCAGCGAGGATTCCTTTACGCTGCGATCGTAGTTGTTATTTATAACTCTCACCAAATACTTTTATAAATGAAAGTTTAATAATATGTTGTCGTAGTTTATATATCAATACTTCATCATGTCATTAATAGATGTTTATTTCCGTTGTAACTCTGATCACATGTTTATATTCCGTTGTTTAATTAAATTGTTTATAACTCTGATAATATGATTTCATTCCGCTGTAATGTTAATAATTATTATACTCTGATGTTGTATTAAAAGCGATGTAAGAAATGGTTTAGAATAATGTAAGCTTTATTCTCTCATTTGTGATCCGATGGCAAAAATGTGGATTTTCGGGTTCTTCCCTGGGTGTGCCCGACGGAACCGAGTAATTTAGTGTTCTTCCTTGAGTGCTTAGTGTCTAATGGAAGACAAGCACTCCTGCGAGGCATTAGATTAGGCGGTTCTGCCACAATTATGCAACAAGATTAATGTAATATGTACTTTTGTCGTAAACCTGTGGACTCTTGTATGTTTTCTTGGGTTGCTTAACACACTCATCTAAAGCCAATAGTGATGACCAGCTGTGAGATGAACCTATGGACTCTTGTATTTTTAAAATCTTCATTTTTTCTGATTTTTTTGAATATTTTTTGTCTGGCCGGGATTTGTATCCCGATGGTTTCCAAACGATGGCCGGTAATTTTTCCCCAAGGGAATTCCGTCTCTTGGGGGGGCAGGGGTGGCAAGTGCAGTGAAGAATTCCCCTTGGGGGCTTAAACCCACGTGCCTTTTCCACCACAGTATCCAAAGGAGCCCTTAGTGACAAGAGATGAAGCCAAATATTTATCTAAAAAAGATGGAAATGGTAGGTCCCGACAGAGACCGGTTTATTTGCATCCCATTTTCTGCACTCTTAGGTCCGGTTTATTTCTTTTCACTCTGAAACCTAGTTTAATTCGATCAACTGTAATTCTAGGAAGCGGGCGTCTGTCCGCTCGGACGCTCCGTTGCTAGGCCGCGATGCACCGACGATAGCCCAACAACCGCCTCTTATCTGCTCGTCCACTCGCCCCGCAACCGTTATAAAAAACTCACTTGATCGCAGCGTCACAACAGGGCTCCACGGCTGCGCTCCGCCATGCCGCCTCCGTGACCGTGCTCTCCACCGTGCCTCCCTCTCCATCGCGCCTCCGCTCCGCTGGCCGTCATCTTCACCACGCCCAAGTGCGTCAGCCGGTCTTCCTCCCTCTCCATTGCGCCTCGCGCCTGCCGCCGTGGCCTTCTCTAGCTCGCGGACCCATCGTGGCTTTCTCCACCAGACCTGTCGTGGCCTTCTCCACCGGAGCGGCGAGGTCTACATCGGTGAACTCCACGCGCTGACAAGCCTCCATTTGCAAGCAGCAAGGAGATGTTACACTAAAAGAGCATGTTGCAAGCCTATATTTCAAGTGTTTCAGATGTTTCATATGTATATTTCAAGTGTTTCATATGAATGTTGCAAAAGTAGATCTGGATGTTGCATATGTTGCAATGGTTGTGCACGTATGTTGCAAGATTCTGTTCCCAATATTTTATCTGTTTTTTCAGACGTATGTTGCAAGTGTGTTTATTTGGATGTTGCATATATTTCACACATATGTTGCAAGTGTTTTATCTGGATGTTACGTATGTTTTACAATGTTTTCAAGTGTTTTTGCAAGTGTTTCAGATACATGTTTCGAGTGTTTTTTTCTATCTTCAGACGTATGTTGCAAGTGTTGCATCTAGATGTTTGAAAAGTAGATCGGGTGTTGTATCTCCCTCCTCGCCTTCTGTTGCCTCGCCTCGTTGTCTCCTTCTCCTCCCGGTGCCGGCTGGACATCTGAACCAGAGGCACAGGCGAGCGCTGCCCTCTCCCCCTCTTCTCGATGCTGGTGATGTTCGTGGCGACGCGGGCCCCTGCATGAGGCGCACGAAATGAAGTGTAGATGCTGACGCCCGTTCGAACATCCGGACGCTAGCACTACCGTTCAAACAAATGAGTTCACCCCGTGACAATAACCCCTCATTTTCTGTCTGCTTGGAACAGAACGGTGAAGCCTAATTGTCATTTGTCACCCACCTGTCCTGTAAAATACATGTGCCAACATATACAGAAATTCGAGAATTGTCAGAAATGTTGGTCTTTTTAAATACTCTGTAACCACGTCACACAAGTACACTCGAGCACGATTCACAGAAACTCTGCAAAACATTCACTCTTTACATCCCAAGACGTTGAGCATTCTAAAAAAATGAAATAAATTGCAATATAGTCTCGAAGAAGATTCAACAGAATGGAGCTTAATGTGGCGGTGCAGACACTAAGCTTCGTCCAGTGCAGCTACTCCTGGGAGCTCCTTCCCTTCCAGCAACTCCAAACTTGCACCACCCCCAGTTGAAATGTGGCTCATAGAGTCGGCGACACCTGCCTTCTCAACAGCTGCAACGCAGTCTCCACCACCAATTATTGTAGTGACGCCCTTGCCACTAAGCTCGGCTAACTTCTTTGCAATTGCCTAAAGATGAGAATTCACGGTCAAGTTTGTTCATACAATTTCCTCAGAAGTGTCATAGCAGAAACAATGGCGTCACATAGCATTACCTTAGTTCCAACTGCAAACTTGTCAAATTCGAAAACTCCCATGGGTCCATTCCAAATGACTGTCTGAGTAGTTTCAAGGGCAGAACTGAATGCCGAAATTGAATCTGGACCTATGTCCAGACCCATCCATGCATCAGGAATTGCAGATGCAGGAACAACCTGAAGAGCAATCTCATGTTCAGACCATCACTGCATGCATACAAGAGCAGCTGATTTTTCTAAAGTTTCATGCATGCCTTGATAATACTACTAGAAATAAAAATACAACCAACCTGACTGCTAGCATCAGGAGCAAACTTATCAGCGATGACCACAACAATTGGCAACATAAGGGAGACGCCCTTCTCCTTTGCTTTTTTAAGGAGAGAGGTCGCAAGCTCAAGCTTGTCATCTTCGACCAAGGAAGAACCTATTGAGTGTCCTTTTGCCTTGTAAAACGTGAAGATCATACCACCACCCAAGAGAAGGATGTCACATTTCTCCAATAGTGATTCAATAACTCCGATCTTAGATGACACTTTGGAGCCACCAATAATAGCAGCAAATGGTCGTTTGAGGGTTTGAAACAGCTCCTACAAGGTAATCAAGCTCCTGCGATTTTATTTTGTGTACAAGATCAGGAAACTGAAGAGGTAGACCTGTTCATGGAAGAGAAATAAAGGAAAATAAAAAGAAATAATGGCATTTGCTCTTAAAGTTTCCTTGGTCAGGATTCATATATTGAGTTATTGACACAAAAGAGACAAACCTTCTGCAAAAGGAACCCTGCCACAGAGGGCTTCAAGAACTTGGTAACTCCCTCAGTTGATGCATGTGCTCTGTGAGCAGTTCCAAAGGCATCGTTCACATACTCTGGGTCATTCTTCTCTTCCTCCTTGTAGAATCTAACATTTTCAAGGAGCACAAAATTACCATTTGGCAGTGCAGACACCAATTTCTCTACTTCTGGTCCAACAGCATCATCTGCCTTTTGCACCTATTTGTGGATGTGCGCATATACTCAACATAAATAAAGCAATAGATGATTATTAATTTTGACATTGTATCATTGTGAAAGCAAAAGGTACGTGTATACCTAGAAGTTCAGACAACCTTGGTACAAGGGGAGCCAAGCTAAGCTTGGGAGTAACACCCTTAGGGCGACCCTGCACATCCACAGTGGGGAAAACAAGAACGAGAAAATAAGATAAATTTTGATAAATGTTGTCTAATAAAAGTTTCACCCTTAGGGAGACCCTGCATACCCGCTCCTCATCATACTTGCGTTGTGATAAATGTTGTCGAATAAAAGTTTCACCAGCAGCAAATACAAAGTGCAAATCATTCAGAACTTCTAGTTCCCCGACAAATACTGCTACCCCTACATAATGAACTCGTATGTCCACATCACCTCAGCACTTGAAATATTATGCTAGATCTGGGATATGTAAACTTGAACACTATCTTTCCCTGATGCAGAGTTAACTACATCTCATGGTAATTCGATTGTGCAGGTTCAATTATCTCAGAAGAGACGAAGGAATTACATACAAAAAACGAATTACAGAACAACGCTATGCAATAAGGATATAGTCTAAATAAAAGTCTTCAAAAAAGTATGCCCGTGTTATTATTTATCTTAAAACACCAAAGAAGATGTCACTCAGCAAGTCAGCATAACTTAAATGTCCACAATTCAAACACCTACTCGGCTACTGGTGCCAATGCGACTTTACTACGTCTGAATCCACAGCTAATAAATGTATCAGTCATTCAGTTTTATGGATTTGATCGAGCCAATTTGAGTTTTATGTACACTCAATATGGAAAACATATGCGTGGATAACACCATATTAATCGAGGCTTACCAGGTGACTGGTGAGGATGACCCTGGCGCCGTTGTTAATGAGGTGCTTGATGGTTGGGATGGCGGCGCGGATGCGGGTGTCGTCGGTGATGTTCTGGCTGTCGTCGAGGGGCACGTTGAGGTCGGCGCGCACGAGCACGCGTTTCCCCTCGAGGTCCGCTGCGGCGAGATCGCCCACGCTCTTCTTGGCCATCGTCGCCGCGGCGCGCGTCCCGCGTCCGGCCGACGGCGCAGAGCGGCAGCGCGAAGCAACGTGGATCGCCAGCCGCGGGTCGGCGCCAGGGAACCGGAGCCCAGCGACCGCCGGGCGAACCAGGGAGAAGGAGGCCGGCGCTAACGCCGACGCCATTGACAAGGCCGTGGCAGGCGTCAAGCTGGAGGGAGGGTTTTGCGCAGGCAGGGAAATGCCGTGAACGAAGGGGAAGGGATCTTCGCTGATCGCCGCCACGTGAATGTTTCGCCAACGGCGGAGGAGGAGGCAGGCAGCCAGGCACACAGCCAAGGCCAAGCCGGCCGAGGGGAAAGTGGGGATTCAAAGTGTCTGGAAAGAAATTAGAATATTAGACACTCCTTGTGCTGTCGCCACCGTTGGAACAAAGATAGACGGTCTTGGTTGAGTACCTAGGGCACCGATGAAAGTCAGTCTATAAAAGGGGGAAAAAGTACTTTTCCTCAACGATAGTATGATTTTCTCCCACGTTTATAAAATCAGAATTTTAATGTCCTTAACTTTCAAAATATTTGATTTTTATTATCTTGGGTGGCTTTATCTAACATGATGCAGTTGACGTGGCATCCCATCAACCGAACTACTCCCTCTGTCACAAAATACTTAATCTTGTAGCATTCAAATTTTGTTCCAAAATAGGATATCTAAGATCCTAAAGCGTCCACTGTTAAGAGATGGAGGAGGTATATAGGAGGATAAATTGAATTTCGTTGATGCTTTAAAGGGTATAACAGACTATAAATATTTTTTTTTAAAATATCAAAAATATTTTTTCTAAAATGGTTATGTAATTAAAAATTCTAAATCTAGTCTAATCTTAGAAAAATCATTGAGAAAATATTTTAGCTTATAAATTATGAAACAAGTTTTAAATTTTTCCTTAAATCATGCTTTATCTTATGACGTCTGGATTGAAATTATTTAAATATTTATAAACTTTTTTATGTTTATTTGCTAGCAAATGCTCTTGTTATCTATCGGTATTGACCAATCAAATTATGCAGGAGGCTAAGTAACACGAAATACTCTCAGTAGATACTATTGTTGTCTATTGTTTTCTTTTCTAAAATTTGTTTTTGTGTTGGTGATGTTTGTGGAGTGATACCTATGAGTCATGTCATCCACATTTTTATGGCAACACTTCATGCTTTTCTACACTAATATGGTGATAGATAGAATCAAGTGATGCTAATATGATCAAGTGGCACTTGTGTTCATACTAAGGACCTATTTAATATAGCTTATAAGTTGCTTATAGCCAAAACAAATTGAAACTAGATGCCAAACAACACGATTTTAGTTTTTTCTGGCCATGCTTTTCCCCATAGCTCCATATGCACTAAAATGCAAAAAAGACTAACTTATTTTAGCCGTACTTTTTCTCCATTTGTGCAGTTTCCCAAGGAAGTGCTTCTCTCCATAGTTGTACCAAATAAGGTATAAATAGGATAAAGTATAATGTAGTTACATGGCACTTATGTTGTCGTCAAAGATGATTAAACTTTTATATAGTCCAAGTCAACGACCTATACCAAGATCCTGTTTGGATCCATTCGCTGCTAATAGTTAGCTGGCTAATAGTTCATAGCTCATAGCTAATATTAGCTCGCTAACTATTAGTTGATGTTAGCTAATTTGGCTCAATTAGTAAGATAGTTGTTAGTTAGGTATTAGCTAACAATTAGCTAAACTATTAGCTGGATCCTATTTAAATTTACACAAACTAATTATTAGCAGCTAACTATTAGTTGCTTGACCCAAACAAGACCTAATTATAATAGTAATAGATACAAGCAAAATTGTTTTGCGAATTTCCCAGTCGAATCTGGTGTGCGCTGTAGAAGGAGATACAGGGCTCCGCATTGATCTTGGGAGCCTATCTGCTAATCTGAATATATAAATATATAAATGATGACGAGATGTGTATCTATTGAATGTGTAAATCATATTAGTTTTCTTTGTGTGATAATAAAAGGAAGCCATGTGCAGTGCACGTTGGTTCAACAATTGTTACACAAGCAGCACGTTCGCGAGTGTTAGCGCTCGATAGTATGGTTCAGTCACGGTCAGATTAACTGATGTCAAAACGAGAAATCTAACGGCCCTTTTGGAACCCATGAATTTTACAGGAATTCTATAGGACTCGTTCGCTTGGCTGAATTTCACATATTTCAGTTTATTTTTCACATAAAAACCATGAGAACGGAAAAAAGTCCCACGTTCCAAAAAGCCTAAATGTTATAAACAGGCCATGAACACGGGCTGACGGCCCCCTGCTTCTCCTTCAGCCCGAACACGCGCACCAGCCGAGCTTACGCTGGCGTTTAGCCACAGTCGATGCGCAAAATCTTGGCCCTCATTGGTGCTTCAATGCTACCAAATGCACCAGCTGTTTCTCAAAAAAAAAAAAAAAGCACCAGCTCATTTTCCATCTGTCGCTCGTCACAGCAATAAACCCAGCTTCACAAGGGCGGCTCATTCTTGTTATATATAGCCTATATAGGGTTGGCACATCGGCGCGCGCTCCCTGGAGACCGATCGATCGAGGACAGCCATGGCGAACGACAGCCTCCGAGCGTTCCTGGTCCTCCTCGTCGCGAAGGTCTGCCTCCTCGTGGCGATGGCGGCGTCGGCGGTGCAGGGCAGGCCTGGGCCTAGGCCCACGGCGCTGGGATCAGTTCCCGCGTGCTGCTTCTCCCACCCCGAGTGCTGCTACGACCTTGCCAGCCCTCCGGGTGATCTAGCGTGATCAGGGTGACGGCGATTGTTGTTTCGATGCCCGTAATGAGCTAATTCTGTTTCTAGCTCCGTCGTTGTACTCATCGCTTGCGTAATAAAATGGGAGTTATTTTTTTTTATCTTAATAAAATGGGAGTTACGAGTATGGACTCTATGGTTTCAGGTCAGGTTATGTGTCCATGTTCGATTCTTTCAGCAGATCATTTTGCCAAAGGAGATATAACATTGTGGTTCAGTTATTCTGAAGATTTTGTTTCTCGTTTTGCCGAGGGAGGTACAACTATGTGGTTCAGTAGGTTTCTTCAGGAGTTTCAGGCGACTCTTCTGTTTCCTCTTTTTTAGTTCTCTGTTTTGCCTGTACAAAACCTTCTCTCTTTAAATTAATGTATTCAGTAGGGGGCCAAAACCCCTCCTGTTCGTTAAAAAAAAACTGTGGTTCAGTTACTCTGAAGATTTTGTTGCTCGTTTTGCCGAGGGAGATGCAACGATGTGGTTCAGTTATTCTGAAGATTTTGTTTAGATAGAGAAGTTCACATGCAGTGGAATCCATATTTGCATATCGCAAAGTACTAGTCTTTTCGGTTGTTGCTGGTAGTTTTTATTGGTTTTTCTTTTCTTTCCTTCTTTGGCTATCTTTTTGTATTATTTTTCTGCCATATTAATAAATGTGTACTTGTGCAGTTGTGCGATTCGTTTCAGAAAAAAAAAGTCAGGACTTCCACAAGAATTTGCAATATGTGATTTGAAATGTAATATAGAAAAAGAGTAAATTTTAGGGCCTATTTGGAGTGTGAGAAACAAAATCTTTTTGCCTACATTTTTCTTATGGAATGTTCGCTTCACTGAAAAGCCAAGCTGAAAAGTACTGTTTGCTGATTTGTGTGAGAGAAAAATACTGTACCATGACTGATAAGTTCAAGATTCCTATAAAATTCTTGCACGATTTCTGTGAAATTCCTGTGTTTCAAACAGTCCCTTACAATAGAACTGCAAGTCTATATAACCAAGATCCACATTGTATGGTCTCCAATTTTGCAGATCTGTTGCCAATGAACTCCCCTTTTCCTTTCATCTCTGTATACATGGTCATAGATAGAATCAAGTGACGCTAATATGATCAAGTGGCACTTGTGTTCATACTAAGGACCTATTTGATATAGCTTATAAGTTGCTTATGGCCACAACAAATTGAAACTAGAAGCCAAACAACACGTTTTTAGCTTTTTTGGCCATGGTTTTCCCCATAGCCCCATTTGTACTAAAACGCAAAAAAGATTAGCTTATTGTAGCCACGCTTGTTCTCCATTTGTGCAGCTTCACAAGGAAGCGCTTCTCTCCATAGTTGTACCAAATAAGGTCTAAATAGGATAAATTATAATGTAGTTGCATGACACTTATGTTGTCATCAAAGACATCTAAACTTTTACATAGTCCAAGTCATCAACCTAGACTAAGTCGATGTTTGGATCCATTAGTTGCTACTAGTTAACTAGCTAACTATTAGCTAGTTTAGCTCAACTAGTAAGATAGTTGTTAGTTAGGTATTAGCTAACAATTAGCTATACTACTGGTTAGGGTTAGACCCTATTTAGTTCAAAAGAAGCTAATTATTATCAACTAACTATTAGTTGCTTGATCCAAACAGGGCCTTATTATTATAGTAGTTGAGCTAAGACCCTATTTGGATCCATTAGCTGCTATTAGTTAGCTAGCTCATAGCTCATAGCTAATATTAGCTAGCTAACTATTAGCTGCTATTAGCTAGTTTGGCTCAACTAGTAAGGCAGTTGTTAGTTAGGTATCAGCTAACAATTGGCTAAATTATTAGTTGGACCCTATTTAGATCTAAATGAGCTAATTATTATCAGCCAACTATTAGTTGCTTGTCCAAACAGGACCTAATTATAATAGTATTAGATATAAGAGCATCTACTAGCAAATAAAAGGCAAAATGGTTTTGTGAATTTTCCAGTCGAATCTGGTGCGCGCTGGAGATACAGGGCTCCTCATTGATCTTAGGAGCATATCTGCTAACCTGAATATATAAATGGCGAGATGTTATTTATTGAAGTATATTTTACTCAAAAGTTTTTGCCAAATGTGCATATCATATTTGTTTTTCTGTGTGATAATAAAAGGAAGCCATGTGCAGTGCACGTTGGATTCAACAATATTTGTTCGCGAGTGTTAGCTAGCCCTCGATAATATGGTTCAGTCACTGTCAGATTAACTGTCATAAACAGACCATGTACACCACCGATATATCGGCCCACGGGCTGACGGGCCCCTCCTTCTCCTTCAGCCCGAACACGGACCAGCCGAGCTGACGCAGGCGCTTAGCCACAGTCCGACAGTCGGTGCGCAATATCCCTCATTTGTGTCGTGTGCTTCAATGCTAGCAAATGCACCAGCTCATTTGCCATCTGTGATCTGTCGTTCGTCACAGCAATAAACCCAGCTTCACAATGGGCGGCTCATTCTTATTATATAGGGTTGGCACATCGGCGGCGTTCCCTGGAGACTGGAGACCGATCGATCGAGGACAGCCATGGCGAACAACAGCCTCCGAGCGTTCCTGGTTCTCCTCGTCGCGAAGGTCTGCCTCCTCGTGGCGATGGCGGCGTCGGCGGTGAAGGGCAGGCCTGGGCCCACGGCCTGGGATACGATTGCCGCGTGCTGCTTCTACCGCCTCGAGTGCTGCCCGGCTCCGTCTCCGGGTGATCCGGCGTGATAGGGTGACGGTGATTGTTGTTTCGATGCCCGTATTAATGAGCTTTCTGTTTCTGGCTCCGTCATTGTACTGATCGCTTGCGTAATAAAATGAGAGTTATGAGTATGGTTTCAGGTCAGGTTATGTGCCTACGTTCGATTCTTTTTCTTTCAGCAGCTCGTTTTGCCGAGGGAGATACAACGCTGTGGTTCAGTTATTCTGAAGTTTTTGTTTAGATAGAGAAGTTCACATGCAGTGGAATCCATATTTGCAGATTGCAAAGTACTAGTCTTTTCGGTTGCTGCTGGTAGTTTTTATTTGTTTTTCTTTTCTTTCCTGTTTGGCTATCGTTTTGTATTATTTTTCTGCCATTCTTTATAAATGTGTACTTGTGCAGTTGTGCGATTCGTTTGAGAAAAAAGAGCAAGGATTTCCACAAGAATTTGCAATCTGCGATTTGAACCTTTGAAGTAATAATGTAATATAGAACAAGTGTAAACTTAAGGGCCTATTTGGAACACAAGAAAAAAAAAATCTTTTTTTCCTGTGTTTTTCATGTGAAATTGAGCTGATTCTTGTTAAATTCCTGCACAATTCATGTGGAATTCCTGTGTTCCAAACAGCCTCTTACAATAGAACTACAAATCTATATAACCGAGATCCACATTGTATGGTCTCCAATTTTGCAGATCTGTTGCCAATGAACTCCTTTGCCTTTCATCTCTGCATACAGGGTTTGCTAGATGTACGGGAGACGGCTAAATCACAGGAAATACTGAAATAGTGACGATTAATGGTTTTACAGGAAAAGTAGAAACACAATCGAAGTTACGAAGCAAACAAGAATCAGCCACAGGCATATGCATTCATATATTAACTTAGCATGACAAAAAAAACATAGGACATGAGAAATAATAATCGTAATGGCCTCCATGAACAAAAGCTGCAACGCAACTGAAAATGAGAAATAGTAATCGTAATGGCCTCCATAAATAAAGCTGGAACACAACTGAAAGTAGACAAGCAGACTAGAACCATCATAAGAATTGATATAAACTAAGTTTACTGGGATGACGGAATGTAGGAAAACTGATATATTTAGTGCAGCTTACAGGTTGGTATAGCTCATGATACAAGTGTGTATATTGTTCATATATAGAAACATTTCTCAAAGTCATTTCAATATTGACATAGTCCATTGAAGCATATCCTCAAGCAACACTGATACAATATAACTGTAATGTACAAGGGGAGAAAAACTTCAACCTCTGGTGCACCGATCAACACAAAAGGAGGGAGGAAAGTAATAGCTGTAACAATCCAAGTTTTAGCATATGAAAGCGACATGAACATGCTCATCGCTGCAGTATAGCCCAGGCTGTTGAGTGTACCCTTGCTTGGACAGCAGCTCACGTGCTTTCATCACGAGATCCTTATTTGTCACCCTCCCGTGCTTGTCTGCAAGAATGGTCTGGATAGCATTGCTCAGAGCACCAAATGAGACACCCTGCGGTGTTGTTGCATCCGCTGATGTTTGGTTAGTCTGGCACCCACTGATCAGAATGCCATTGTTTGGTGCCCAGGCCTTGGTCCCGGCATACACCTCGTCAACACTGTGAACCTCTTGCTCTAATGCTGGCTTGAAAGCCTCTTCCTCGTTCCCTTCAAGCTTAGCCTTCAAGAACTCCTGAGCGAGGGCACCAACCATGCCCAGGACACCACCACCACTGCCATGCTCACCTGACTCACCCTGGTGGAACTTTCCGAGCATGACCTTCATGAACTTCTTGATCTTTGGGCTGGCATCATCGCCAAAGATGTTGAACAGCGTCATCCGGATTGAACCCACATCAATGTCATCCTTCCCAGTTTGTTCCTTGAGCATCTCTATCAGAGTCGAGAGTGGTAGGGAGCGGTTTTTGGTGCGGCCATCTCCAGTTGGCTGTGCATAAGCGTCGTCCTGGTCATCACCCCCATGGCGGCTATGAGGGATGTGAATCCCCTCAGACTCTAACAAATCACGGGCAGTCTCTTTGAGAAATGACCGGAAGCCACTGCCAGAACCAGAATGAGGACGCTCATCAGGTTCACGGGACTGGGTCTTATTCTGCCTGGTGCTATTACCTATCTGCTCCTTAGCACTGTCCAGCAGGCCACCACTATGGCAAGAGTCAGAGACGATGGTGAATAGGCAGCCCTCAGGGACCTTCTGCACGAGTTCCCGGAAATCCTGATCTGCAGATTGAAACGAGTTAGAACTTTGATGCTGAACTTTGAAAAATGACAGCATGAGCTGAACATTTGATCTTTGCAATCAAGAAATGTTCAGTTATACATTATACTTGGATGGAACTAAATGATTCACTAGACTAAAAAACATTCATTGCTAATTAAGTTATCTGAGTAACCAATGTAACTGATTCGTTGCCATTTGCTACCATGTTTCCAAATGAAAACCTATTTGATAAACCAATTTGCATACTAAAAATTTTGCTAACTTTTTTTACTAGTTATTATCAGTGAGCCATGTAATCTAAGATATAACCCCTCCACACATTGTAACGTACTCTATGAAATTGCTATACACGATTATAGCATCATAAGAAAAGCAATCATATCTGAAATTCAATCAGATAGTATAACCACTAAAGATATTATCAGATCAGACTTATACAAAGTTCCCGCAGTGCAAAACTAGCAAATGGGGAAGCCTAATCATCAATCTTAATCATGAATCTTAAGCACGTGCTTCCAGATCACAGGATAACAAAACTACAGAAGTGATGTCAACTATTTGGATTGGAGCAAATCCGCGAACAGATCCACGTCAGGTAGGTGTTGACCAATTGCTTCCAGGCTTAGATTCACATCTCAAGGCAGCAGACTAAACGCTGATCCTATCATTTTACCATTTCCAGAGTAGTACTTGCAATAAAAAGAGGAAAAATGAAGCACAGAGGAGGAGGAGAAGAAGGTCAATGGATCCCCCGATCGCACCGGTGATGAGGTTCATGTCGCAGGGCACGATGCACTCATCGTAGCCGGTGTCGTCGTGCTGCCCCGTCTCGGCGGGCAGCCGCGTGCCGTGCCCGCTGTAGTGGAAGAAGAGGAAGTCCCCGGGGCGGGCGTCCCCGACGAGGCGGGCGAGGGCGCGGCGGATGTTGGCCCCCGTGGGCTGCGGCGCGGAGCGGTCGGCGTCGGTGAGGACCCGGATGTCGGCCTCGTCGAAGCCGAAGCGGTCGACGAGGCAGCGGCGCATGCGGTCGACGTCGTTGTAGCAGCCCTTAAGCTCGGCCTTGGTGCCCGGGTAGTTGATGCCCACCAGCAGCGCGAGCTTGCGGCCGCCCATCGTGTGCCGCGCCTGCGTGGATCGCGCTACCCTGGTGGCGGTGGGTCGTCGCCGGCGGGGGTGGCCGGAGTTGTAGTAGTGGACGCTGATTCGTCGGGAGTTGTAGTAGGTGGTGCGTCCTGCGTCGCGTCCGTGTGACCGTGTCGATTGGCCTTTTGCGTTTCTGATCTGAATCGTGGGGATTCGGGATTGGTGCGGGTGTGCCGGGTGGCAATATTTCGCCGCGTCCATTGGATTGTCGTTGTCGGTCACTTGGCTCCCGTCATTGCGTCGATGACTCGATGCAGATTTTTACCTGCCTCTCAGATGGTGTAGCTCAAAACACGCTCGCATTTTTTGTGTCGGCAGCAGGTTTGGTACACGACTTGTAGCATGGTCGTAGTACTACCACATCCAATGGCCCAATCTCATCCATTTTTATCCATCGAACCTGTACTTTATTATCAATATAAACGATGACTGAATTGTGGAGTTTGTGAGATGGGAACGCCGTAGATTGATGGTTATGGTGAAATTTAGAGATCAGCGGGTGATTGACGGTGAAGTTCTGATGGGTTGTTAGACTTGCTGCAGAAAGTTCTGATGGGTTGTTAGATTGACGGTGTAGATGTCTCAACTGAAGCACCGGCTTGATTCTCAGTGAACACTTTCATCGACCTGCTTTATTATCAATATAAACGATGACTGGTTGTGGAGTTTGTGAGATGGGGACGCCGTAGATTGATGGTTATGGTGAAATTTAGAGATCAGCGGGTGATTGACGGTGAAGTTCTGAAGGGTTGTTAGACTTGCTGCAGAAAGTTGATGTAGATGGCCAATGGCCAATGTCTCAACTGAAGCACCGGCTTGATTCTCAGTGAGAAAAATCCAGCCTTTGTTTTTATCTTGGTTGCCAGAAATTATTGATCGTTGATGACAAAATACTGCTCTAAACGAACAGGCTGCTTGTCCTTGTCCTGACTGATTGCCCATGCTTGGTACTGTACTTGCCAGATGCGATGGTGTGATGCAGTTATCTAATGAAATTCACAACTGAAACATGGAGACCGTGGAGTCAGTATCGGCAAGGCAAATTCATGAATCGACTCTGACTCCTGAATGCATCTGGGGACTACTCATTCAACTTTGACTTGATCTCGTATTTTTTTTCTTAACACTAGCCTTCGATTTTATTTTATTTTTTAAACAAACTGCCCAAAAACCAAATATTATCTTATTTCAATAATAATATCTCACCACGTTCACCCATAACATGTAGGAATTTTTACACTAATCAAGAAACCCACGTCGGTGGAGTTTTGTAATGATCTAACGGCTTAGATTAAAGCAAAAAGGTTCATGCCTAATACAAAAAATAAATAGTGAGTTTAGAATAATAATTAAGAAAAAAATAGCAATTTGGTTTCATGCAAGTTGGAAAGAAAATACCAAAGTAAAGAATCTCTACAAAACATAATTAGTAAAGGTAAGTGTAAATTAAAACTACGAAAAGTTAATAGTTTAATCTCCAAAATAAATTGGGATGATAAAATATATAAATAAATAGTACATATAAATTAAATTAGTAAATAGCCAAATTAAATTACCAAACAAAACTGTAGTTTGATTTCGAAATGTGGGAACAAGCACCTAAATGATAAACTTATTGTATTACTAAAGAAAAGTTTTAAAA